AAAATAATTTAAAACATATATGTTCAAAGTAAAGTAATGTGCTGTTATAATTAGAAAGGACCAAAAAGACTTTCTTGACCACATAGTGGTTAAGTGTTGGAGTAAACTACAAGCAAAGTTGTGTAATCTCCATTCCTCAAATAACATCTTAAAATTGGATCACCAGTTACTGAAGTGCTGCCCTATTTTCTTAAACTTTTATAAGTAAACATACCTGCTATTGTCCACGTACGTTGATCAGGTGCAGATTGAAGTCCTAGCTCTGACTCTTACTAGGTAGGTGACCTTGGGCAAGTCACTTTCTGAACCTGTTTTCTCTGGATTGTTATGAGGAATAAGTGACACAATGTATGTAAAGAATTATAAAATAGGTACTTAATTAGTGTTCTCCTTTCCTGCTCTGTGAGTCTACTTTAATAAATAATAAGTGTTGTGAACTTTTTGCTATGGATATTTTTTTAACCTTCTTATGAGAATAGTGTGAAAGAGGCTATTTATTTTGAAATTTGACTGCTTCTGCCTTTGAAAGTTACTACTGTTTTTGCATTTAACTAAGTGTTGTTTGTAGCAGTTGCTATTTTAAACATTTTTGAATTAAGTGATGTTTCTAAGATGTGTTCTGCCTGGTGTTGTCACATGATAGTGTGTACAGTAACATAAAGTATCCCTAAAAGTTCTGAGAGCACTGGTTACTTCTGTTGAAACTGCTTATATTTTTAGTTTTCTCCCATAGTAATAGTCAAGCTTATAACCTTTAGCATGTGAGATGAACTCAGTCCTCTAGGTGTTGTAACTAAGAAAGCTACAGCTGTTTTCATAATGTAATCACTCAGTAAGATTTGTCTTAATTCTTAGTGAAATTTCTCTTTGAATGTCTGCTTAATTTACAAATGTCATTATTACTCTTTTATTTCTATTATGACTCTTGTAGCATGTCTATTTTTAATTTACAGGTTCTATACTTCCCTATAAAATGTATGACTATAGACATTCAAAAGTATTTAACTCATAATTTGTAATTTTTTAACACAATTTAAAAATAAAGTTTTGGTGTTGAATGTGTACCTTGTTTTTTCGTTGGCATCATTGAACATCATAGTATCAACTCAGAACTTTTCCATTTAATCAAGAAAAGCTCTATTAATGATGATTTAGGTAGACTTTTGTTAGTCTAGTTTGAGAAAATCAAGCCTCAGCTAGAGAAAATGATATAGCAGTTTGGGGTGTGATTACTTAAGCTACCCTGGAACCAAGATAGAATTTATGAAAAAATATGTCAGAGAGCTAACAATCGCTTATGCACTGAGGTTAAGAAAATAGGCTAAGAATCAGCTTCTTATCCAGAAAATTGTGTACTACATTGTAATTTAATCTGGGAAATGTTGAGCTGAGTTGCCTGTGCCGTATGCAAGTGGAAATATATCACAAATAATTAGTTGTAGAGGTCTGGAGTTTGGAAGAGGAATCTCAGCAAGATGTATAGATGGATTTTCAGCATATGGGTGGTAATTGGAACTTTTGAAGAAAATGAGAGCACCCAGGGAGAATATATAGAATGAGCAAGAAATGGCATGGAACACTAAAGAAGAGTAATATTTCAGATCAAAAAAACTAAAGGATAACCAGAGAGGTAGGAGGAAAACTGGAGACTTGTGACATTATGAAAAGTAAGGGAAAGTAATAGTCTAAAAAGAAGTGATTAGTCATCACCATGATATAATGGCCAAGGAAGATGGGGTCTGAAAAAATATGCCCTTTGGATTTAGTATGGAAGATCTCAGTAGAGCAGTTTTAATTAATAGGGGTAGTAGAAATAAAGCCAGATTCAAGAGTTGAGGAGTATATGGGATATTAAAAATTGTTTTGATTTGTTTTTAGTTTTTCTTCTGAAAACTTAATAAGAAAAAAAAATGGTAGCAAAGGGGAGATATTGTTTTATTATTTCAGTTTTTAAAGAATAAATATTCTTTTAGGTTTTTACTGCTAATAGGAAACCAATAAATAAAAGATTATAGCAAAAATATATTGAGTAGGCTCAATAACTAAAAGTAAAATGCTTATACTTTGTTTTTGTTATACAACTTTTTTTGATCAAAGTTATAAGGCATATTTTAAAACAGGAAAGACCATTAGGTATCTGTAATCCCTTCATGTCATAGACACTACTTCTCTGCTTAAAATTCTCAGTGACTTCCAATTACTAAAAGTCTGACCTCCTTAGAGAAGCATATAGCACTAATTATGATTTGCCTCATTCCTATCTGGCCTCATCTTTCACAATTGCCTCGTGATCTAGCGATACTAGGAAACTTGAGGTTCCCTGAACATGCTTTGCCAATTCATGCTTTTCTGCATTTGCATATGCTGTTGTTTCAGCATCAAATGCCTCCTTTCCTTACCAACTTACCCTTCCATATATGAGATTTCCCTCTTTCATCACTACTTTGAATTCTTCTCTAACCCTTACTCATACTGATGATGATGATGATGATTCTCTCTGCTACCATTTTATTTCTGTTCCATTGATCACATAATAATGTGTTATGATTTTTACTGTCTTTGAACATAATAATGTAATACAATTTTTACTGCCATAACTTCTTCAGAGGAGGCATCATGTCTTACTAATCTTTGTTTTGCCACACCAAACACAGTGCTTGGTACAGTAAAGTTAAACAGTAGTTAAACAGTAAATAGGTGTTTAATGTAGGAATGGAAACTATGGCCCTCAGAAATAAGTGATTTGCCCACAGCCACAAAACTCAAATTATAACTTTTATTTTCTGGATAAATTCCCTGTATGTTCTAATTAAGTGTTAGTCTGTTGATTTGTTACGGACTTTATTAAGGCATATGTAGAATGAGACATCAATAGATGAAATCTTAATGAATTCATATATTTAAAGGGAATAAAAAAGAAAATGTATAGTAAAGTTTTGGTGAGGTATATTCATGAAATTTGGATTATTCCCTTTTAGGAATATGATGAAGTCTCTGTAATGTGGGATACATGAAAATCAGTTTAGTTGAAATTACAAAGGTAAAAGCTAAAGTCTTCTCTGAAATCTAAAAGTTAAAATACACATTAACTTGTTATTGACATTAATTTATATACTACACAGTACTAGAATTTAGGTGGTATATTTTGAAACTTTTGCCCTTTTAGGCATATTGGAATATAATATATAAGAATGATTTTTATGACATTTTAAAGTACTAAATTGTTACTTGAATCAAAGTGCTTATGTTCTTTCAAGAACTTGATTATGTATAAAATTGATTATGTATAAAAATTATATGTATTTATATATAAAATTAATGGGTTAAATATGTTTATATATTTCATCATAAAGTAAGCTAAGATACATTAGTGATTTGATTTATATTATTAAACAATTTTGAAAAATCAACCACTTTTTCCCTAACTTCTTATCTTTTTTCCATTTCAACAACTAGAGCTGGACTGGCCATTATGGAGGAGGAGCTGCAGCATTCACACTGTGTGAATTGTGTCAGTAGACGGTGTATGACCAGACCAGAGCCTGGGATTTCCTGTGACTTGATTGGTTGTCCATTGGTTTGTGGAGCAGTTTTCCATTCTTGTAAAGCTGATGAGCATCGACTTTTATGTCCGTTTGAACGAGTGCCTTGCTTAAATAGTGACTTTGGATGTCCATTTACCATGGCCCGAAATAAAGTTGCTGAACATCTGGAAATGTGTCCTGCAAGTGTGGTGTGCTGTACTATGGAGTGGAACCGATGGCCAGTTAGTTATGCAGACCGGAAATCATATGAAAATCTAAGCAGAGATGTTGATGAAGTGGCACAATTAGATATGGCCTTGGCCCTTCAAGACCAAAGGATGCTCTTAGAATCTCTCAAAGTAGCCACTATTATGTCAAAAGCAACTGATAAAGTATCTGAATCTAAAGAGCAAATCTCAGTTAGATCGAGTGTCCCAGAAATACCACATACTAATGGTTTGGTATCTGTTGATGAAGAATCTTATGGTGCACTTTATCAAGCTACTGTAGAAACAACCAGAAGTTTGGCTGCTGCTTTAGATATCCTGAATACTGCCACAAGAGACATTGGCATGCTAAATGCAAGTCTTTGCGCTTCCCCGGATGAAATAGAAGAAGAGCAAAATGAAAGAGAAAGCTTACAGGATAGAAACTTAAAAGACCAAGAGTATCTTTCTGAGGATGAAATAGGAGCAGTAGGTGGAATTGACTATAATGACACAAGTCAGAATGCCCAGTCTGAACAAAATGGTTCAAGCGATTTATTATGTGACTTGAATACAAGTTCTTATGGCACTTCTGCTCTTTGTAATGGCTTTCCTTTGGAAAATATGTGTACACAGATCATAGACAAGAATCAGAATTTACATGGTGATTCAAAACAAAGTAACTTAACAAATGGAGAATGTGCAGCATCAGATGGCACTTCAAAACCTTCCAGTTCACTTTCAGTAGCAGCACAACTTAGGGAAGTAATACCATCCAGTGCTTTGCCTAATGGCACAGTTCAGCATATTCTCATGGCAGATGATGAGGATGAAGGAGAATTGTGTTGGAGAAAAGTAGACTTGGGGGACTTGAGGAACGTGGATGTCTTATCTTTTGGTCATTCTCCTTCATTCAAATTTCTTTCTAATTCATGTTGGTCTAAACCAAAGGAAGATAAAGCAGTAGATACATCAGATTTGGAAGTTGCAGAAGATCCCATGGGCCTCCAAGGAATAGATCTGATCACAGCAGCATTACTCTTTTGTTTGGGAGATTCTCCAGGTGGGAGGGGTATATCTGATAGTCGCATGGTTGATGTCTATCACGTTGACTTTGGGACTCAGACTTTTTCACTTCCATCTGCAATATTAGCTACAAATACGGTGGTTGGGGAAATAGCCTCAGCTTCAGCGTGTGATCATGCCAATCCACAGCTTTCAAATCCAAGTCCTTTTCAGACACTTGGGCTGGATTTAGTATTGGAATGTGTCGCTAGGTACCAGCCCAAGCAGCGTTCAATGTTTACCTTTGTGTGTGGACAGTTATTTAGAAGAAAAGAATTTTCTTCACATTTTAAGAATGTGCATGGTGATATTCATGCTGGACTCAATGGCTGGATGGAACAGAGGTGTCCTTTAGCTTATTATGGTTGTACCTATTCTCAGCGTAGATTTTGTCCATCAACACAAGGAGCAAAGATTATACATGATCGCCATTTAAGGTCATTTGGAGTTCAGCCATGTGTATCTACAGTATTAGTAGAGCCTGCTAGAAACTGTGTGTTGGGATTACAGAGTGACCATTTAAGTAGTCTTCCTTTTGAGGTCCTGCAGCATATTGCAGGCTTTCTTGATGGCTTCAGTTTATGCCAGCTCTCATGTGTATCCAAGTTAATGAGGGATGTGTGTGGCAGTCTGCTTCAGTCTCGTGGAATGGTCATACTACAATGGGGAAAAAGGAAGTATCCGGAAGGAAATTCATCATGGCAGATAAAAGAAAAGGTTAGTTTAATTTTAACTGGATTAACCTCTTACTTGACATGAAGTGGGCCCTTAATAATGCTGCTAAATTAATATCTTGTTGAGAAATTGACTATACCCTAAAACTTACTAAATCAACATGACAATTTTTTTAATGATAATTAATGAAGAACTAGAACAGTTAGAATTGTTTGTCATGATCACAGACTTACTGCAGCTTTCCCAGAACTAGATTAAATGCTGATATGGCAGAGGCCACTTCTGTTTCTTCAAGTGAGCAGTTCTGTACCATTACAACTCTCTTTTTTTTTTTTTTTGGTTTGGGTCTGTATTTCCATTTTCTAATTTGGGCCCCATCTGAAACATTTTTACCATAAGACAATGGAGGGAGCAAGAAGAAAGATTTTTTTGTCCTGCTTATGGTTGTCACTTTCTCTCCATTCTTAGCAGTTTTTTTCTTAGGATTTGGTTGTTTCAGATAGTACCTAAATAGAGATGAGAAAAAGTTGTTACTACTAGTATGGGGTCATACTAGTAAGTTACCAATGAAGTATTTAGGGGAGAGAGAACATAATGGATGGATAAGGAAATGTCTTAGGCCAGAGTGAGATAAAAGTAGAACAGTAGAGTTTGATATTGTGGGTGGGGTGTCTGGGTTTAGTACAGTACAAAGGAGTGATGCATACTGTATTGTAAACTTGAGCTGGAGAATTAGGGAGACCTAAACAAATCCAATCTTCACCATTTTCCTCCTCCGATAACTCTACTTTTGCCCAGCTTCTATTTGAGGCACTACTCAATAGAAACCAGAAGGCATGACATATATCTTTGATTGAAGGTGTGTTTCATTTTAGAACACTTAAAATATGAAACTACATTTTATTAGGTGATTAAATATGAAATGTCTGATTTCAAAGTATTATATCTTAGACAAGAAGCAGTACAGTTAAAGTATGCACCTAAACTATTGACATGGTTTTGCCATCTTAACAGTAGCTTGTTTATGCCAGCAACGAAGAAGCCTGGAGAGTGAGTGGCAGTGAAATTGCAAAAGGCATTTTCCACAGCTTATTCAGAATTGAATATTTTTCCTTGCAAGAAGTGGTGCCAGGCCTGGAAGAAGTGGTAGTCAGTTGGTGCAAGGTCTGGTGAATATGGTGGATGACAGAGTTTCCAAGTCCAGCTGCTGTAGTTTGAGCAGAATTATTTGTGTGACATGTGGTGAGCGTTGGCCTGCAAGAGGATTGGCCTGTCTGTGTTGACCAATCTCAGCTGCTTAATCACAAGCATCCTCATCATTTCATCCAGTTGGTTGCAGTAGACATCCACTGTAATCGATCGACCAGATTTCATCCAGTTGGTTGCAGTAGACATCCACTGTAATTGATTGACCAGGTTTCATGAAGCTGTAATGGATAACCAGTGCTGGACCACCAAACAGACACCATTAGCTTTTTTTGATGAATATTTAGTTTTGGACTGTGTTTCGGCACTTCATCTTTAGCTATTGTGCTGAATGCTTGCAGTTGTCAAAAAGTATCCATTTTTCATCACACGTAACAATATGGTGTAGAAATGGTTCACCTTTATGTCGTAACAGCAAAGAAAGGCAAGCTTTGAGAAGATTTCTCTTCTGAAGCTCGTTTAATTCATGTGGAACCCATCTTTCCAGCTTCTCTTTACTTTGCCAGTTTGTTTCAAAGGGTCCAATATTGTTGGGATGGTAATGTCAAACCGTGCTGCTATTTATAGATTGAGATGGATTCGCTTCCACTGCAGCTTTCAGCGCATCATTATCCACCTTGGTCTCAGGTCCCCCATATGGCTCATTTTGAAGATTAAAATCACTAGAATAGAACTTCTCAAACCATTGATGTATTGTGAGTTCATTAGCCACATCCTTCCCAAACATTTTGTCAATATTTCGAGCTGTCTGCACTGCATTGGTTCCACAACAGATCTCATATTGGAAAATAACACAAAGTTTTGACTTATCCATGGTTTCACAAAAATTGCTGCAAAAAAATGTGAAAGATAATCACAAGCCAAAAATACGTGTTTGTAAGACTGAGAATGTGCCTTCACAATAAAAATAAAATAAGTAGTGTCAAAGTGAAATGTCAGAGATATCAACTGTCAAACTTAGTACTTAAGGAAATCAGACATTTCATACTTAATAACCTAAAATTAAAGTGGAAACAATTTTGATAAACTTCACATTTGGCTGCACAGCATTCAAATTTCTGGTTACTTTATTCTTAGCATCCTTACTTTCTTTTTTACTCATTGCTCCAGGTTTTCACAATTCTGTATCTACTTTTCAGTTCTCCTGAGGCTTTAACCAATAAATGAACACAAATTATTTTATGCTTTTTTTCTCAAAATGGAATTCTAGTGGCAGAAAGTGTCAACTGCTGTGTGTATGTATGTATTTTCTTTTTCCAGATGATTTGGTGTTTCTTTTCCTTTTAGGATGGGACACTCTGAGTATGGCCTCCTTTTTCCTTGCCCACTAGTATTGATATATGGAATGAAATATTTTCTAGGGATTCTGTACTCATTCCTGCAGAAAATCTCGTCTACTCTTCATGTTTAAATTGCTGTCATTCATACAGATTATTCACACATTTATACCCTCACCATTTTCTCCACTTAACTCCAGACCACTATATATAAGCATCTACTGGACATTACTACTTGATTATCCGACAGCTTCCTCAGACTCAACAACTGCAGCCTAACTCCACTCCTCTACCTCTCTTAATCTCAGAAATGTCACCAACATCTACCAAGGTCCCTAAACCAGGAATTTGGGAGTTAGGGTTCACTGCAATTTTCCTGTATCCGGATAATCAGAAAATCCTGTTTACTCTCCCTTCTTTATACCTCTCAGGTTTGCATCTCTGTTTTCATTGCCACTTCCCTAGTTCAGTGCCAACTTTAGTTCTCGTCTGGATTACTGCAACAGCTTCCTCCTAACTGAGTTTCTACTTCCAATTGGGCCAGTTTCCAGCATATCCTCTACACAGAGCTATAATAGAATGAAATATATTTTCTTAAATACAGTTCTTATGCTATCACTGCAGTGCTTAAAACTTCTTTGATATTTGCCCATTACCCCTGGGATAGAGGCCAACTCCTTAATAAAACATTGAAGACTTTTCATAATCTCATCCTTACCTCTTTGGTTTCCTCCTGCCACTTTCCTCCTGCCATAGTCTAGCCACATTGATTTACCTACAGGTCCTTGATGTTTCCTTGCTTGCCTTAAGACCTTTCAATATGTTATCTCTAACATATTGAGAGATAATGGAGAGAGAACATATTTGAACCCCTGCAGTATGCTAGACAGTGTGCATCAGTACTTTACTTTTATTAGCTTATTTAATTCACTGTACCCATTTTACAGATGAAAAAACAGGTTGGGTAACTCGTCCAGCTAATTGATGGGTTCAGATGTAAGGAGGCTCTCTCTCAAGCTTATGATCTTCAGCTTCTTGCTATATCCTGCTTACTCTTTGGGTCTTAACTTCCTGAAAAAAGCCTATTGGAACCCCTACCTTGAAGCCTTCAGGGAAGTACACTGTCTGTGTTCCTGTGGTGCTCCATTATATGCCCTACCTAAAGTACTCACCATGCTGTTTTGAAAGTCATTGATGAATTGGTAGTTTCAGTCATTGGACTATAAATCGAGAAGTGGGACTCCATGGAAAACAAAATATCTAATGCTTTGCATGACATCTACTGTATAGTAGGCTCTAAGTAAATACTTGAGGATTCTTGAATGAAAAATTGACCCATTACTAAGAAACTTTATCATCAGCAGGTAGGAGTCATCTGTTTTCCTTGGCCTGCTTTTCCTGTGTTTATTTCACCAGACTCTTAGTTGTGTGGAAGAAGAGAGGCTGCTTACCACCAGTGAATCTTTAAGCTAATTCATTCTGCCAAAGCTTAAAGAAAACTCCTCATTCCTCCTATAGCTTTGGGATATGGGAAATTGTAAGGGAGGCTAGTGACATCTATAGTACCACTAGGCCTTCACTGACTCCAGGAAATTACTCCATACAGGCTAATTGATCATAACCCTAAGGAACATAGGGCGTACCCTTTGTGCTGAACAGTGGGGACTTGTATTGCTAGCTGAAAAATTATTGTGTTCCCACAGAATTTGAAGGTATCCAGCCAACTCAGGAAGACATTACCATTCTTTCCTGAGAAGTTGTAATGAGTGCTGAGTGTTTTTCCCCAAATGTGCTACTTTCTAGAGTATCTGTTGTTCATCATGTATTCAGTGTTTTCTAACTAGACATTTGCCTATTGATGAACTTTAGCTAGGATGCCTAGGCCTGTCCTGCCCTGTTCATGCTCGTTAGCTAGGTCTGTCCTGCACTGCATTCATGCTTTTAACGTACCCTCAGGTAGCTTTCTATTTTCAGTTGTAAAGATGAGAAGGGGCCACAGTAGTCGCTGCTGGACTAGTAAAATGACAGTGCATCAGGGCCTGGGGCTGCTGAGTGTGCACAAGGGGAATTAGCTCATGTTTTTACCAACAGACAAATGAACCAGGATGGCAGGTGAATATTTTACCTAGAAACACATTTTAGAATGATATGGACTAAAGTAGGATCCATTTTACAAATGCCGTTGTATAAATTTTCAGAAACATTTTGAACAAATACCTGTGTTCTTAAATATTACTAAGTACCTTTAATGCTGTGCATAATGGAAAGATAAGCTACCTTAGCACACAATATTCCAGGGTATTTTTTAGTATACTTCATGTGGTGTAAATAGGAATGGAAGAAAAACCTGTAGAAAAAAATGTAACACTTGTATTGTCAGTATCTCCAGACTATGGATAATTCTATATAGCCAGTTAGTATGAAAGAATAATGTGCTAGGAAGTAGCTCTGAATTCATAAGGTTATGATTTTTAAATAATCATTTAATAAGCCAGGTTGCATGTAATTTTTAATGTTGGATTTTGTCCTTTTTTTGGTTTTTAAATTTATTGAAGTCATACATCATCAAAAGTAATTTACCTTATAAGTATTCGATAAACAGATTTATATCCAAATGGATTTACTACTTTTTAATTTTGTAGCTAAATACTTGAAATTTTATATTGAATGTGTCTCTAACAGTAGCCATGTATGTAATCAGAACAAGAAGTATGTTTTGATTCTCTATAAATTGACATGTTTAAATCTGAAGTAGAATTTTCTTCTAGGTATGGCGATTCAGTACTGCATTTTGTTCTGTTAATGAATGGAAATTTGCTGACATCCTAAGCATGGCTGACCACTTGAAGAAATGCAGTTACAACATTGTAGAGAAACGAGAGGAAGCAATCCCATTACCATGTATGTGTGTGACGCGAGAACTCACTAAAGAAGGACGTTCACTACGCTCAGTTTTAAAGCCTGTACTTTAAAAACTGTGCTTTCCCTTGCGCATACATACGAGCACCTAGTATAATTTCTTTGTAATATGTGATACTTTAATAATGTATTAAAGATTACGACTAGCTAAATTTATTGTCACTATGTATATAATGTTTTGAAGTGACATATATTTTTATAAAGTACTGTTTAGTTGGGAAGAATTTGCCTTAATGTTTGAAATGTGTGAAATTTTTGGAACTTGCTGGACAGGGTGATTTAATTTTTAGCTACATAATTTTCAGAATTAGTATTTTTAATGGTGTGCATATTTTGGTTCTTAAATTTTTTGCTTCTTTAACTAACACGATCCTGACCAAACAATTTACTCCTCATGTTTTCTGTGGGTTGCAGCCCATGCAATGAAAAAGCAAAACTTTGATTAAATTCTTGCAGCATAGGTTTTTCAGATAAAAAACAATCTCAGTTGCTTAAGCACTACCATAAGATCGTTAAAAAGTTTTTATTTTTTAGTGCTCCCTATATGCAATTGTTGATGCATAGGTGATCTCTAATGTATACTTACATGATATTTAAAATCATGACTAATGTTTGGTAATGCTATTTATCTTGATTTAAAAATAATCCACAAAGATGTTTTCATCTTATGTACTTATAACTATTATACAAAGAGTAACCATATGCAGCTTTCTTTTTTGTTAGATGCCACATCCAAAGACTCATGGCAATGTGTTATATGAAAGGTTAAAGCAAAAACAACAAACAAAAAGCAAGCCTGTGAATGTAATTTAAACTGTTGATGGTATTACATATTTGCTATTTGGTGTTTGAAAAGGAAATATACCTCATTTTAAGTTTGAATTGGGCATGTTGTGTGAGTAAATTTAAAAAATTCAGAATGCAAAGGGTTTAACTATTCTTTTCCATAAACATTTTAAATTTTTGCCTTTTGATTATAAAAGTTACAACTATGTTTTAAGACATCTAAAAATGTGAAATTTGGCATCTTCTTTGTAAGACGACAATCATGCAGAAACCTGTCTTGGTTGACAATCTCTTCGAGACATTTCCAACTTAATTTCCCATAGACTCCTCTACCAGGAAAGAAAGAGTTGCACCTTTGTATAAAGATCAAGGTATAGTAGAAAAATATTTGAAGACCTATTTTTGAAGTATTATTGTTTTCAAACTGATTTATACTAATATTAACCTGATGGTGGTCAGTTTAAAAAGTGAGTATCAGTATTTAGAAATAAATTGCAGAGATGGGGACATATACTTAAATAATTTGTCCTAAGTAAATTCTGGCATTTGGTAGTCTGAAATGGTGACAACTTACTTTGTTAAAATTGTCAAAACTCTATTGCGTCTTCTGTTCCTGCATTTGTCCCTGCGAGTGTTCTGTCGTTACTAGGTTCTTGATTCCCATATATGGCAATCAGGCTGGGTAGAGACGTTCCTTGGGCATTAGAGAAGAATTCTGAACTGCTTAAGACTTGTTTTGGTTGGATCAAGACCTTAGTACAATTAAAAAATGTAGCATTAAAGACTAATCAATTGTTTGGCCTCACCTGTCATTTTAAATGGAATACTTACTTCTCATTGCTTAAACTTTTTTTCAACTGTGAGATTGATGCATAAACAGTCTCTATGTCTGTGAAAAAGCCAGAAATAAGATCAAATACTGTAAAATATAACTCTGCTTTTTAAAGTTTTGCTGAAGAATGTGTCTATGGTTAGGATAGCACAAGCATTAACTTTTTGTTTTACAGTTATGCTTTTTAAAATTCATGGTTTTTAAGTTTACACTTCTTATTTCCACACTGGATCATGAGATGTTTAACATTTTTTCCACCTTATGTTTCTTTTACACATCTTTCGCTGTCTTTTTTGTTATGCCACCATACTATTTTGTTAAACCATTTTCTTTGTGAAACATTTGTTCAAGTTTTAATAAAATTAACATTTTCCCTTTATATGGCTCAGTAACTTAAAAAGAAAAACTTTCATTTAATAAAATTTTAATACTTGTTTGACAAATTCCAGACACAATCCTGTTGTTTCTATAATGCGAGTTTTCTGCATGTTGTAGGAGTTACTTGTTGATTATCATTGCTCACCCATGTTTTACTGGTGAACATGAATTTTCTTAATGTGAAAAACTACTTAGTTAGGTTTCTGTGCCCCTTCAGTGTCTTGAAAGTAGTCCCACATAGGGATATTGAAAGGCTGAAGAGTTTCTGGCATGATTGTATCTCTAATACTTGTAATGGGAACCATGTATTTAGCCTCTTAAGCATGTAAACATTTGTGTGTTGGCCTAGTAGATTGTCATTTGAGAAGTCTTTGTTGATTCCTTAATCTTTGCTAACCAGCAGGATAAAAGGGGGGGGGGAATGTTTGAATTCACTTTTATTCTCTGCCTCCTTCCCCAGTACTGCTTGTTAGCTTAATGTATCCCTCATTCTTTTTCTCCCCTTCTCCCTCTCCCTCTCTCTCTCTCATTGGCTTTTGAAGACTCAGATTACTCTTACAGCAGTGATTCCCAAACTGTGGTCCCCGGACCAGCAGCGTCAGGATCACCTGGGAATTTGTTAGAAATGCAAATTCTGAGCCTCTCCCCAGACTTACTGAATCAGAAACTCTGGGGTAGGAACCAGAAATCTCTTTTAACAAGGTCTCCAGGTGATTCTGATGCACAGTAAAGTATTAGAGCTTAGAGGAAAGCCTGGGACATGCCAGCTACCCTCTTGATGCAGTATTGGAGTGGATATATATATGTGTGTATGTACTTATATGTGTAATTGAAAATTAAGAGTGGTGGTAATGGTTAAATTAAAAGATATATCGTCTCAATCTTATAGCCATATGACAGAATACATTGGGTACTATGGTTGTTGGAGTTTTATTTTTTAAACTAGTATTTACAAATATTTTAAATTTCACTAGTATTTTACTAGTGTTATGTTGAAGGTAAATTGCAGTGCAAACTTTAGTTCATTAGCAGTAACATTTAGCCTCGTCATCTCATTCTCTTGTTTAGTGATTGCAGAGTCATGTGAACGTATTTTTAGGATAAGCAAAGAGTAGAAATAGATAAATACTAGATTAAATCCCACAGAAACATTTGTAGGGATCCTTTCAATCCTATTAATAAGATAATATTAAAGATTGGGTTTCCTATTTATCAGTAGTATAGAATTTTTTTGACCATGTGCTGCATATCCTGTCAGTGTTGTTGCTATCAATATCTGTCCCTTAACATTGGATATTGGGATCTTAGTAATGTGGATGATAATGGGATTTTCAACAAAACTTCCATGTCCCTTGAAGATTTGGTGGTTTATATTACTATATTGATAACAGATTTACCTGTGGAGATTTAACTAGTTTTAGGTATTTGGAAGCAAAACAGATTTCTTCATGTTTTGCATCCCAACCTAAACAGACATGGAGTTTATTTTTCAGATTTCCTAAGGAAAAGTTATTCAAATATTTAAAAATGTGTTTGTTCCATGCATGACACACCCCATTGAAAGTGATGTGACTGGAACTTGCAGAGATGGTTGGTTGTAAGTACAGTAGAAAGAAAGCAATTAGCCCTTATTTTTGGGAGAAAGACTTTTGATGGAAGGAATTTCTCTGATAGGTGTTTGGCTGGTTATCTAAATGTTGCTGTCAGTAGTCTTACTTAACATGTTGATGAGGCCTAGGAAGCCAGAGAATATTAGTTATACCTTTAAAGAAAATTAGCTCATTAGTGACTTGTTCAATAGTGTTTGAAATAATTTAATGATGGGTTTTGTTAGGATTTATCTAAACCTCATTTCCGAAAAAAAAAAAAAAATGACTTTAGTAAAGGCCAACTCTAGTGAAGTTCTTTCTAAATAAAAGAATGGGAAAAAAAGAATGGCTTATTTTTGAGATTACCTTTTACATAATTATTTCCTTTTATTTAAAAGACCAAAGTGAGTTCAAAATGTAAGACCTTTCAAATTTCCATTTTATGGATGAGAAAACTAAGGTACTCAAAGTTTAGGTACTGATGAACATATTGGGAGAAATTTGAGGGAGAAATGTGTCCTGACACAGATCACTTTTCCACTTTACAAATGCAGAAAGAGAAAGGACATTAAGATACAAGGAAATTTGAAAAATATTGTTGCCTAGATTTTTTGATTACTACTGTTTTGGAAAGACTTTTGGGGCTATACCAACAGGAAACAAAGTAGAAACTAACCAAGTGTGGTATGGTGCTCTGAGAATCTTTGCAAAACTAGGACCTTTTGCTGAATTTTTACAAGTATTTTATTGCATCTGTGACTGAAAAAATTCTATGTTTATTTTACATGTATAATCTTCATAATTGGCCAATACATCTTTTGATGTATTAATGGAGATATACATCTTGAGATGCTTTGTTACCTTAGAACATTTCAAAACTGACATTTTGTATTCAGATTGTTTTGTATTTCAATGTATTATGTGGAGAATGACTTTTTATTATAAAGAATCTACAAATAAATGGATTACAAGGAAGATTCATGAACGTGCTTTATAGAAAGAAATACAGTAAAAAATCATTGATGCGAATCTTTTTTAAAAATGATTTTTGATCTTTTAGACATGCTGAACTTAAGCTCCTTTACTATGAAGGAAAGCAGTTCTACAGCAAACTGACAACATAAACAAGGAAGATACGTTTCTTTTTTACTAATACCGATAAAAATTAAGTATTTCCAAAATCATTTATTAACATTTGCATGCAAATATCATAAAATGAAAGGATTCTTCAATACATAGTTGTAGTGGTGATAATAGTTCATGTGTTTGAAAGTAATAAAACTGCAGTTCTGTTGAAGTCTTACTAAGATCAATTCATCAGGTCAAATTATTCTTTCCCAACATAGACAAATTTGTCAGGTTTAATTTTTATCTTTTTCTAATATAACTGGTTAGAATTTGTTTCTCAGACAAGATCTGAGAGAAATAGATTGATATTTGTGTTCATTCTTTGGCAGAGGACTGACTAGAGTTAGCTTTTTATATCCCTTCCAGGCAAAGGCTAACATCGTTACATTATTAAGTAGTAGTTATGAGGTGTAATGATACATAAGAACAGTAGCAATAATTTGTTATTGCTCAAAAGATTGAAGTTGCAAGAAGGGGGTCCTGTCCTCTGCTGTCCTAGAATTTTTTTCTTCTGAATTTCTTTTCCATATTGTCATTATTGCTTATCTAGCTCATGACTTTTCTGTTTTCTGACAAGGTAATCCTAAATTTAGCAGTTTTGTTCAGTAATTTTAGATTTAAGCAACTTATCCCACTTTTTAAAAAGTCCCTTTCAGCTCACCAATGGAGAAACAAATTTTCATTTGTTTCCTCAAAAAGCAGCACATATTGCTAAATCAAATTGAAGTTATCAGCATTCAGGTTTAACCACATTCTTTGATTAAAAGAAATCAAGCCATGGAAATGAAAATAACAATGAATACTACATCTGTTCGAGTAAGATTACCCAATGAATAATTATGTCAAGTGGATGTCTTTTATATCAATTGATGACTTTTGAAAATTGTTACTGTATTTTTAATAAAGGATTTGAAATGAGAGAACAGTATTGATTCCCTACAACATTCCAATAACTTTGTGATAACAGCCCTGACATATGAAATAAGTTGCTTTGAATAGTTAATAATTCAGTGGACATGAATTCTAAAGATTTATATTCTTCATTCAAAATGTTGAAGTTGTATTGTTCATTTGATCAGTGTTTAAATACCAGTCAGTACTGGAAACTCTAACTGCATTCTGAAAGATAGTTGTGCTGACTGATTCACTTAACTCAGAGGCCGGTTTCCAGTGTTATCTTTCTTTTCTCATGATTGATATTAATAGTTGTTATTACCTTAAATGCAAAAGGATATGGTATTGCTTGGGAAAAAAACACGCTAAGCGAATAAAGCTAGACACAAAAGGCCAGATATTGTATGACTCCATTTATATGAAATACAGAATAGGCTAATCCATAGAGACAGAAATCGGAACAGTGGTTGCTGGGGGCAGAGGGGAGTGACTATTTAACGGTTATGGGGAGTTTTTCGGATTGATGAAAATATTATAGAAGAAGATAGTGGTGATATGTGCACAATGTTGTAAATGTGCTAAATGCCATTGAGTTCTATACTTCAAAATGGCAAATTTATGTACATTTTACCACTACTGAAACGAATATGGTATTCACAGTCATTACCAAAGCCAAAAAGTACAGTTTTCCCAAGGTTTGTGAAATGCCCAGACTATGGTTTAGAATTAATTTATAGCATTAATGTGACAAATTTATTCAGTTTTAAAGTCCAGATGCAATTTATGGATTCTCATCACAGAAGTACTGCTGACAGCAGCAGAAATAAAGCTGTAATCCATCATAATTTCCTTATATTTAATACATCTGTGACTGAGTAATTGTCTTCTGCATCAATGTTTATTTTTTACCTTTTGTAGTTTATTATTCCTTGTGGCACATCTCAATCATGCTTTTTAACAATCTGTTTTAAAATCATACTTTGAAACAAAAATCATACTTTGTATAATTTTCAAGGTTATTTTTATAGTTTTATACTTTGTTTCTTTTAAAGAGCAAATGCAATTATGTATGACTAAATTAATAAATTGAACTGATGTATACATTTTGTATTCTTTTGTATTGTCTTGTGGGAAAGAACTATTTGGATCTTGAGATTGGGACTTTAATGATCATTTAGTTTTATTTTATATTTGGGGAAATTAAAGCTGAGTTTGTCCGTGTGTTCTTTCATTCAACAGGCATTTATTGAGCACTCATGCTAGGTACTGTGTAGGCTTGATTCTGGAAGGTTGTTTCATGCTTAAAGTTTAACAGGTAATTTCTTTCTGTCTTCTTTATTTCATCATCTAGTAACTATGCCAGACACATGGACAGAGGAGGGAAAGCAGAGATTCACGTTAAATGATTCTTCACGTAATTCTTCTCCAAACACTTTAAAGAGATGTTCTTCAGT